TCACCAGCACGCATTCCCCCTATTCGCCAAATTCGAGCCCACAAAGCATCATTATGATTCATCCCACATCCCGCATCCTCTTTCCTCCTCACTACATTCTTAACAACAACGCTCTCATCTCTCCAACTACTCAGCCCAGAACCTTAAAGATGTCACTTCTAGATGTCAGTATACTACTAGGTAAATACTATATCATCATTTCCAAGTCTTAGGGTAGCACATGTATTTTTGCATACGAAAGACAGCAAGAAAAAGGAAGGACACATCGCACCCACAAGCACAATAAACGCATCCAATCCAATAATAATCTTACACCAAAAAAAGCATGTAATACTGCTAGTACCAGGCTGGCCCCGAGAAAAGAAAAACACCAAAAACATCCTTCTTCCCAAAGACTTTAAAGTTTCAAAAAATTCCTAATAGATTACCACAACCCATCCCGCAAAGTCTCACTTTCACCTACCTTCCTACTCTCCTTTATCAGATAAAAATATACTTCCTCAATCTAAAAACCAAGACCAAGACCAAAATCCACAGACCACAGACAGAGAAGAATGACTTACTTCTTCATAAAACCCCCATCCTCCCTCCCAAACGAAACGAAACGAAACGAAACGAAACGAAAAGCACACCAATCCTCAAACCAACCACAACCACCCACCCCCAAAAAATACATCCCCATCCATCCCCATCCATCCATCACAGAAAAAACAACGTCTCATCTCCAAGATACCATAAACCATAAACCATAACATCCATCAAGTACCTCCTACTCCTACCTCCCACCTTCTACTCCTACTCCTATTCACAATTTCGAATCAATAAAGAATCTACTTAGATTGAACAACTAAACAACCATGATAAGGGGAGAGTTAGATATATTTGAGAATTGCGTGATGGAGTTGTAGTGGAGGGGAAAGAAAGAGGGGAGGGGGGTAGTAATAGAAGGTCTTAGACGAGGATTTTTTTACTAGCTGCTCCTCGGACAATACTTTTATTTTCATTTTGAGGAGTTGAGTGAGTTGTTGGTTACAGGAAAGGAAGTGGTGAGTGGGAGATATCTATACTCCGACTCACAGGTGCTTTGGAACGAGTGCCTAGACTCTTGTGGCATTTACTACTGGAATTATACAAAGATTTTATTAGAAAGCTATCTATCATTCACTCACTCAAGACATGAAGAGGGACAATGTTTTCGGTATAAGAAGGGTATCTTTCATTCATCTATCAATGTTGCAGAGCAATGCAAATAACTATCTTTTCGAACCTTTCCGTTCTGCCTTTCCTATTCCCCCAGGATATCCACCTTTCGACCCATACCCAATCGAATTACACAAGACGTCATAAAAGTAACCTGAACGCCCGACGCTAAATGCAACAAATATCTTGTCTCATTCATCTCTTCCTTATATCCTCCTATCCGTCCAATGACCATTTTTCATCTGTAGACTCCACCACTTAATAGCACCATGAGAATAAGGCTCATAAGCACCAGTGCGCGTAGTTTGATGGTGTTGTTGTTGATGATAGATACCGTGTTGTTGACCACCATATGCAGTTTCTGGTCCATCAATCTTCTGATAGGCCACGGTTTGTGGGATCAACTTCTCTTGATCATTGACGCTACGTCTGTTCTTCTTACTGCTGTTGTGATCAGATGCGCAACAACAGATAGTAAAGACCCAGAAGAAACTGCTTGCGATGCTGAAGACAACAGCGAGCCATGTAACAGCGAGGAAATGGGTATCGATAGAGGCTTCGACTCCGTATGCTTTGGCGGCTGTTTTGATGGAACCGACTGTGACGGAGGAGAGAACGGTAGCCAAGATAGATGCGGCAATGACAGCAGCGGTGCTGAAACCAGAGATGGTGTATGTAACGCAGGAGGCGGCTCTAGAACACATGGCGAAGATGCCAAGGAAGAGTTCCAATGCTGTGGCGATCAAGGCGATGATGTATACTACTTGTGTCCATTTTGATAATGCGGTAAAGGTCTTCAAAGCATGTTTGACTTGGCTTGGGAGAGTGGCATTGACACCTGTCGCAGAAGCACGAGTATCGATGGAAGTCGTATTGAGAGAAGTGGCCGCCCAGTTGAATTTCGCCTTGGTACATGTGGTGTTCTTGTCTGTGACAGCGCAGTAACCCCAAAGACTAACCTTATAACTATCCGCCAAATCCAAGTCTTTGGCCGTGATGTTGGTTGCCGAATCGGTTCCGGTGATTGAAGCAATAGCAGATTCGACCGTGTTCTTCTCAGAGGTGGTGGAAGGAGTCAAGGCGGCGACGGTGAGATCTGCAAGACCACGTTTGCGGAAAGAGTTCTCGAGACTGAGGAGTGTCGAGGAGGAAATAGAGAGGTTGGTTGTGTTGACGACGAAGATATCGAGAGATTTGTCTGTAACGCCAGCGAGGGATGCGATGAGAAGACAGACTAAACTGGCGAGGGTTAAGCCAAATGGCACACCGACGCAAAGAAATCGACCGAAACCCATGATTTTGAGATAGTGTAACGATTGTTGGTGTTGGTGTTGGTGTTGGTGTTGTGGTTCTTGTGATGATTCTATCGTTGATTAGGTATTTGGATATCGTAAAATCAAATCCCAAGAGAAAGAACGAATGTGATTCTTCTGAGATGGATAGGTAGATGGAAGGATAGAAGAAATCAAATCAATGAAGAAAAAGTTGGTATGAGATGAAATGGAAAGAGAAATAATGTGGAAGGGCAGGATTGATATTTATTATTAATAAGATGTACTCGAGTACGAGCAGCAGTAGAGTAATAAGGGTACTGTAGTCTGTGGTAGGCGGAGCAGTAGAGCGACGCAGTATGTATGGGGCAGTGAACTGTGAACTGTGTGAATGACGAAAAAACACAGACTTTTTTATGGGGAAATCCTGGTTGATGGTCGAAAGATGTGAGACATTAAGGGATCTTCGATGAAGGGCAATGCAGAGAGAAGTTTTTGAAGTTGTGAAGTTTTGAAGTTTAGATGTTTAGATGTTTTCATGAAGAAAAAGAAGGAAAGAAGGAAAGAAGGAAAGGATGGATAGGTTCAATTGATACAGTAATACTAGGTATTATATTCATAACCAACAACATACTCTCTAGTAGGTCCTTCCCTTCCTCTCTTCCTTACTTACCTAGGTACTCATCTCATTCCTGTATTCAGCCCTGACCTGGTCGAAGGAATATCTTATTCCGTATCAATAATATATCAATATACCACAAACTCACATCTCAATCTCTCAAAGGACTATCACTGTCGCATCACACCACCACACTCTTTGCTGTTGGCCCTTTCACGCCTTCCCATCCATCCATCACCTCGACAACTTGTACTCCCTCCAACCCCTCAACCCTACCGCCCTTTACTCCCACTCCCTTCCTTCTCACCCCTGAAGATGCAGAAGATACAAACATGAATAAGCCATGGCAACGCAACGCAACGCAAACACACCCACCTCCTTTGCTGCGTATTCGCACCCACCCACCACTTTACCATGTCTCCATGTATATCACCGTGTGGCTGGATCCTTTCATTAACTTCTCGCCCTAAGCCTCTATAGGAATAGTTTTTTATCAAAGATTCGTACCTGATTCATCGCCCTACCGTGGGTCACCCAATCAAACCCGCTGGACTGACTGAAAAAGTCTATTTATATCCCTCTTCTTCGCCATTGTCTTTTTTATTAAACCCTACCGATAACCACTTTGAGCTTAGTTGCGTGCTAGGTGGTCTCAAACACATCGCCAGCTAACTTGGGAAAACGAACGGTGGAACAGGAATTTGAGATGAGAATAGTATTTTGTGATGCATCGGTAATATCAAGTTTCCTCCTACACGAGACTTTATGCTGCGTCGGAGGAGAGTATCATTTTTAAAACATCAAACAGCAAATAGCAAATCACACTTTCATATCTATCCATCCCAATCACTGTCAATCAATCAAAAGTATGGAGAAACTTCGCCGTCCAGCTACGGTAGTCCGCGTGAACGGCTCTGAGAGGTGGGTAGGATCGAGAGCAAAATTCTTACCTACATACATACATACTTGCTCACGCCCTCCCAGCCCAGCGCGTCAAAACTTCACACCAGAGATATCCGGCCATCATATCATCACATCATGCCCAAAGTTCCTACGCGTCTTTTAGAGCTGCCAAGATCTGCAAAGTGTCAAACCGTGCCGTGTCAACGTAATTCTGGTCGTGGCTGAGAACGAGCTTTCTAGAGAGCATATGGATGCGATTACATTTAATTATGGAGATGAATAATACGATTAGAGAGTAGGTAGATATATGAATATTTATATACATAAATGGTTTGATCTGAAAACTTCGGATCGTAGGTTCTCAACTACTTTCGAATCTGTACGGAGTAGAAGCCTTGATGAGCAAATAGGATTAGATGGTTACATGTCAAGGCACCGCGCGCGGGGATTAACATCGTTTCAGTGCCCTGTTACTGTGTGCTCTGGCCCCGTGTTGGTTGGAAATGGCATAGACCCCCTGCCTGCCCTCAGTATACTTTGTAGAATTTCGTGGTTGGCTACGATATACGATACTGTATAAATTTCTTCCATGCGGGGATATTGATATTTAAGTTTTGATGGGAGATTTGTTTCGCATGGGATGGGGAACTCACTCAACGTCGGGTGTCACCGTACGTATACCGGTATATGAGGAAGTTTATCTCGCACTATGTTTGGGTGTTAGTAGGGAGGGTACTTTTTACGAGGTATCATCTACATGTGAGTATGTCTTGTCAGTGGGAGAATCAGTGCAAAGACTTTAATTCTAAATTGTGAAGTGCGGCCTGGAGAAGTGTAAGTTAGGTCTTTGAGATTTGAGTTGTATCTTAAACTTGGAATAGAATATGAAAAGGAGTTTATGAGTTCTATTTGCTGATATGTATTGAATGTCTATACTAATAATCGCTGGCTGATATAGAAAATTCAAAATACTATGCTGTAGTCGAGTACAAGGGATAAATCTGCTTTTAAGTTATGTTACCATTCAAAATAGTATCAATTCTTTCCATGCTGTCCATCACGATTGGGGAGGTTAAACCCCATAATTCAAAAAACGAAACAATTGCTAGCGCTACTACTAATACCAAATCGCTCAAGAGCCTAGAAAACTCCGGAATTGGGTTGAAACGTTGAAGCATTCTACTTTCTACATATCCTTTAATTCCTCGAGCGTAGCGTACAAAGTCTTCCGCAGGGAAGTGACGCTGAGCATGTTCGGAATTCGTCACGAAGATCGTCACATTATCTAGGGCTGACAGTCGATTCAGGCGTCGCATAGTCAACAGCGATAAGCGGTTGCGACTGTCTTTGGGGTTCCTGCTGTTTTGGGTACTACCAGGCAGAGCCTTTGTATCCTGTCCCAGTGTTCAATCCGTATTAGGAGCCTCAGTGATTCTTCGGAAACAATGAATAATCAATATCGAAGTTTATGAGAGCTTGTGCTGCAAAAACATGGGGATTAGTGGGAAAATTGTAGCAGTATAAGTTGTCCAAAGAGGGGCTAGACATTAGGATGTACGACAAAGAAGAATGGACGGTACTTGCGGGTAGAGCTTTCTCCTTGCAGAGATTCTAAGGATTGTGACGAGCGAGCAAGACGTTCATCATACTCTGGACTCATGCAGTTAAGTATTGCTGTACCATTTTGGGGACTTGAACAATTAAGAGTGAAGAAGCAAGGATCATCGGCTACTTCTCGAGTGTCATGCTTCAAGTACCAGGTATGCCAGCATTTTTGGGAAGGAGAGTGCTTATGTGAGTAAGAAAAAGCTCCTCGATGGGCAAATCGATAATAATTGCGGCGTCATCAATGGCAGCAACAGTGGCAGTAACGATACGCCTGTGAAGAAGATTCCCTTATCCATTTTAGATATCGATGCTCCAAATCAAGCGCTCTAAAGTTGAAAGGCAAAGTGTACCCGCGATAGTGCCTAGTTGTGCTTCTCCTCTGAATTTTCATCACAATTGATCCATGACTGCCTTCGTCCTCACTGTTCTCCTGAGACTCTATTTCATCGAGTGAATGAACCGACTCACTCGTATTGTCCTGCTCTTGATTTGTCCGCTGGACCACCTCCTGACCAGATTCATTATCAAGCTCAAATCCATTACTCTCAGGATGGATCACTTGCTGGAGGACCTGTTGAATCACCTCTTGAATCTCCTGATCGCATTCGTGATCAAACTCACACTCATTACTCAAATGATGATTCCTTGAGGATCCATTATTTTACTGGAATGTGGTCCTATAACGATGCCTTTGGTAAAAATCAGGTGGATATATTATTGCAATGCTCCAAAATTGTGTATGAAGTTGGAGAAGGTTAAACAAACAAACCGGAAGAGGGGGAAATCAAGGAAATGGAAACAACAAGTATAAGTGATAATGACAACCGCAACTGGAATATACCTTCTCATGTACTGGATGATTGAAAGAGCAAACAAGAGACTTAAGGTTGTTATGATACCTTTCCCCATGAATACCTATGCTATTGAGAAACGAGGACAATGATGGACAGAGAATTGGAGAAGACTGGAAGTCCTTCCCTGGAATAATCCAATGGATTCTCGAATGCTTCCACGACACCAATTCTTGCTACTTAGCAACGTGGAAAGGTTGATGCCTTTTTTGAGGGGATCAGTCAGTTTTGACACATGCCAATTCTATGGTTCGCATTTTCTGACATGGAACAGTGTCAAGTCCATGCTGAAGTGCCTTTCTCTGACCAAGGTGTTTAATTTGAGAAATTGAGCAATATCAGCAATGTAGATATCAACTTCAGTCTTCAGCCTTTCTTTCAGCTTAGCCTTCTCTTCGTGTGAAGGTATCAGATAGTGTATTGGATGATGCACCTGCTTTTCTGCCTACGCCTTTGAAGGTCCTTAAAGATATCAAGAAAATGACTTGTGGCTGTTTCTTGCCTCTCCAGACGTCTCTGGTACTGTTCTTGCCACTTGTGAATATCGCCTCAACGACGACGTATTGAACAATCCAACTGCTCTCCTACCCGCCTCTCAGTATTCTCATGGTCACTCAAGATCGAACATCTTGTGCTCCGGACCCAGGGGAATATGGTTCTAGAATAATCTAGAATGTAGATAGCTCGGAAGGGAATGGATACGGAACGGATATGGAGATATAATAGGTTTCTCTTGACAATCAACACGGAGTACATATTGTTCAACCTCGGAGGATATAAGTAGATATTTGATCAAAATCCATCATAATACGATAGAATATCGAGGGCTTCGAATCGGTGAATTTACCCAAAGTAGACCAAATCAAGATGATACGAGAAAACAAATCCTTGAGTACTTCGGTCAGTAGTTGAAGTGATACTCTTTAGTCCACCAGTCATACTAGAATAAAATACATTTACTAAGAATTTTGACTTCACTCGAGCTTCGCTCTCTTTCTTGACTTTCTCAACCTTCTTAACTTTCTTTCCTCTCTTCCCCTCGTCATCAAAATATGTAGTGCGATCGCCAAGCATTTTTTCTTCACAGCAACCAATCATTGTATGGAAGAACGAAAGACCATCCATCATCTTTTTGGCGTTTGGGTCTTTTTTGGTCCACCAGTCCCGGTTCCCGATAGCCCAAAATCAAAACTAAGAAACCAACAACCCCATCCATTCAAAGGAACGAATTGGAAGAAAACAAACAACCAACGGATCCCTTTCCATAACGAAGCCTTTTTGATATTTGATAAATTCAAATTATCTTTCATCATCAATTATTGATTATTGATTAACTTTCCTAGTGCTCCGTTGAGTCCTAGATTCCGAAGGATTTCATCTATAATTCGTCCACACCCTCTTGTACCATCTACCCACCTTACACACATCCATCGTCTTTAAAGCAAACCTACCGGTCTTTCAGGAAGCTAGAACGCATACGTTCTGGGACGAGCCGCTTCCGTCCCCCCCACGGTTCTCTGCTCGATATAACTCTTGTAATACACCGAAAGTCGCTCTGGCCAATATACCTAGGCACTCGGGACGGTCTTCTCGATAATCGCAGTGTGAACGGAACGAATCCCCATCTCGACGAAGACCTTAGCTTCAACAAGATCGACTCAGCCTCAACGCTAGGAAGTACTTAATCTTCAGTAAAGGTACGTACCAATTCTCATACCCATGGTATTCTTTAACCGCTTCCTTCACTGCTCGAATATACAAAGGTGACTTGCTTCATCCCGCTCAAAAGATCATGCAGCTTTATGAAGGAGAATGTGTAGCCGAACTCATGCTTACAACCAGATAGACAGTTCATCACAGTTCACCACCTTTTCGACACAAAGCCTTCTTCAAAAGTCATACAAAGTTGCTGTTACGATTGCATACAACTCGACCTGTCATTAGAACCATACGGCTTGTTTACTTCACCAATATCACCTTACGGTTAGCCATACGAATCACGTACACGATATTTACCCAAGACAATCAAGGCAGTGTTCGGTGATCTATTACCATCCCTCGTCGACACAAGAAGCAAATCTCCTACCTCTTTGGCTCATATTGACAGCTGAACGGCAGCGACATCTCTGAGTCATCCCGAATTACACAGAGTTAATACTCAATAAAGATCTGCTGGGTTCGCATATTTGAACTTGGAACGATGGGAAACCAACCTTCTAAAGGTTCGGGGTCTGCAACCCCGCGCAGAAGTGCATCTCAAACGTCTCTTGATAGAGGGTCGGATAATTTATCGTCTTATCCTTCATTCAGCAAAGCGGATACCAAGGAATCCAACAAATCATTCAGAGGCGCCCTTCGATCAAAAATACCGGGTTCCAAGGACAGCCCAAGAAACTCGATTGCTGGAATAGGTAGCCTTGTAGACTCAAACGACAAATCCGATGTTGCTTCAATGAAATCGGGAAAAAGCGCTATATCGGGCAGGGCATCATCGGTGCCAGGCTCACCAACTTCACCTCAAGATTCTTCGGAAGATATTCCTTCACCAACCGATGATCTCAAGCCTCCCCCATCGCCTGTTCAATCTGCTTCGGTGAAGTCTGGACATCATGATGTCAGCGCTGCACAACGTAGTGGTGAGGTAGATCATGTCTCCGATCAACCGCCTTCTGGCACAGTCAATCCTTACGCAGTCGGAGGCCGCGCTGGGCAATCTATACTGGTCAGGAGAGCAAATGAGATTAATCCTGTTGACACGGCTACCTTGCTAGCTGCTCCAATGAATGGATCCAATGAAACCGCACTCTCAACCTCAAACTCCGCACAAATATCAATGGGTAGCTTGAAAGACAAAGATCTTGACGACTATATCTCGCGACTCTTGGATGCAGGATACCAGGGCAAAAGCACAAAGGGAGTTTGTCTTAAAAGTGCGGAAATCAACTCAATTTGTCTTCGAGCGAGAGAAATTGTATTAGAGCAACCGCCACTGATTGAATTGGAAGCCCCAGTTAAGATTGTAGGTGATATACATGGGCAATACTCGGACCTCATACGCATGTTCGAAATGTGTGGATTCCCTCCCTCGTCAAACTTCTTATTCTTGGGTGACTATGTCGATCGAGGAAAGCAGTCCCTCGAGACAATTTTGTTGCTCTTGTGCTACAAAATCAAATATCCCGAGAACTTCTTCTTGCTAAGAGGTAATCACGAATGCGCAAACGTTACTAGAGTCTATGGATTCTATGATGAGTGTAAACGAAGAGCTAATGTAAAAGTGTGGAAGACGTTTGTAGATGTCTTTAATTGTGTACGTAACCGCCTTTTGATCTAGTGTATGTGCCTTTTGACTAACTTTGTGACTAGCTACCTATCGCCGCAATTGTCGCAGGGAAAATCTTTTGTGTCCATGGCGGCTTATCTCCCGCTCTTAGCCATATGGATGATATCAGAAATATTGCTCGACCAACAGACGTCCCTGACTATGGATTACTTAACGATCTTTTGTGGTCTGATCCTGCAGATCAGGAAGCAGATTGGGAGCAGAGCGAGAGAGGCGTTAGTTACTCGTTCGGTAAGAAGGTCATTCAGGAGTTTCTGTTAAGACATGATTTTGATTTGGTCTGCCGGGCACATATGGTTGTTGAAGATGGTTACGAATTTTTTGAAGGTCGAGTCCTTGTTACGGTGTTCTCTGCGCCAAATTATTGTGGCGAATTCGACAATTATGGAGCCGTTATGAGTGTTTCGACAGAATTACTTTGCAGCTTTGAACTGTTGAAGCCATTGGACTCCAGCGCGTTGAAGAGCCAGATGAAAAAGAGCCGGAACAAACGAAATAGTATGGTCAACAGTCCTCCGCCGACCGGAACCTTTGCTCCACAGAGCGTATAATGAACTGTCGGATAATTCTCAAACAAATATAGACAAAAAGATTGCCCTGGATGGAAAACCCTATACATTCGAAGAAGAAAACCCAAAACAAGATGCGATGTCAAGAATTACGGAGCATGCCATGATTTACGCGCTTAAAGAGGTCATGCAAGAGTGCCCAAGTACATACAGGACTGAAACGTGACCGAGAAGAGATTTCAGTCACTTTAAAATGTCTAAGAGGTCGAGGCTCGTTTTTCACAGTATCGAGAAGGTCAAGATAGATAGTGGAGGCTGGAGGCTGGAAGCTGCCCGTAGATGTTATATGCACACATTTGATTTATTTTCTTTTCCTGCGGATAGTTTCTTATCCGCGATATCAACAGGCTCTCCCCTTTCTCGAAAGTACGACACGGAAACGGATACATTTTATATTGGCGTTATTTGTTTTGGTACGTCATGATGGGGGACAGAAGATCACAAACATGAACTCTACTTTTCATTCGCCTCTGTAGAGTTCACAATCGCTGTTTATGAACATACAGATGGGTAGGTGGGTGATCGACGGCTGTATGTATGCTGGGTTAGTGGTGTATCTGGTATTCATAATATTTGGGGCGGAGGTCAGAGTAGAACTCAGCGGCATCGCTGGAGTTGGGAGTTGCTGGGAGGGGTGAGATGGCATGGAAACATGGTAGCTCTTAAGCATGGTGTTGATTGACTCGACTTACTCATCAATTGATGCAATCGATAGATGACGAAACGATATGAGATTATATGCGTTCATCAATTTCCGACCTTCATACATTCGTCCCCATTTGATTGATGTGAATAAAAGCTTTGTATCTTTCATTTCTACCTCTGGTTCTGTGTTTTTCTGGACGAAAATCAGAGCAGACCAGGTCCTTCAACGCAAAATTCCAAAATCGTGATCTCGTCTTGTGATTGGGACTTTTAAGTTGAAAGGCCTACCTACTGTAGGTAAGCATATGTTCTTGGCATGGAAGCTTCCAAATCTCCTCTGTTCTCGTCCCAACTTGTTTTGCCAAGAAAATCTACAAGCTGTTACTGTGGGAAGACTTCCCACGGACTTTTTGAGGAGTTTGATTGCGCAATTTGGGGTTTGACGGTAGTTTTATATTGCGGATATTCATATCCTAGTGTTCATTTGAGATGAGATGAGATGAGATGTCCAGGGAGATGGGGTGATGCCTCGTGAGTCCCGATCTATGCGTTCTTGGGGAATGGATGAGTTTGTAGTCCCGAGGAGTACTCTCGGTACCTATGCTCTAGTTGTTAGGATAGGCTGGAAAGGTACTCGCTAAGCGGGATATTGGATATGGGGAGGGGGCCCAGATTTGGGGGATGAGGAGGGATAAGTGGTGTGTGAAAGGATTGAGGTAGGTAGTGCAGATTGATGGGGTAGAGATTTATTTTGTAGAAGGCTTGAAAACTTGGGATTGTAAAGATGGGTTTGGGAGATGAGATGGTGGAAAATTGTGTTGTAGGATTTTGTTGTTGATTTTGTTGTTGATTTTGTTGTTGATTTTGTTGTTGATTTTGTTGTTGATTTTGTTGTTGATTTTATTGTTGATTTTGTTGTTGATTTTGTTGTTGATTTTGTTGTTGATTTTGTTGTTGATTTTGTTAATTGCCTGTGGCGAGGGGATAAAAGGAGAATGAACCAAAGTTTTATGATTCGCGTATTGCTGAGTAGGTATTAAAACCGAAAGTTTATCTAGTCTTAGGAATATTTTGTTGGATCTACAGTTCTGGGGAATAAGATTCTGTAGGTCATGCGGTTAGGAAGGTAGCGTGTAGGAAAGGCCATCTGAACAGTCATGGTTTATCTGGGGCTCGGAGAGATTTGAATAATGACAAGATAATGATTGATTAGGAGCAACAAATAGTGGAGGTGATGTGGACAAAATTCGCGTGTGGCAAAACGAATGATGGGGAGTAATCGTGTATCCATCCGATATAAACTGTGCATTGCCACACAAGATGGTGCTTTCCATGTCTTACTGACTCTAAGAATACTCGAAATTGCAAAAAATATTGAGAGTACAGCAAAATAGGAATACCGGTCTAATCTACAGCTGGATGATATCAAGAAGGCATGGCTTTGCAAACTTACTCTGACTTTCTGATCCTGAAGTCACCGAGAAAGAAGATCGTGACCAATAGTCGACCTCTTCAAACTTCATCCAACATATCAAGGACTTGAGCTTCCTGAGAATTTCCAAGTCTCCCTCCCAATGACCTTTTACTCAGAATCAGGCTCGGAAGCAATTCCGAGGCTTAAGTTCAATCTTTACTGGCAGATGGCAATCCCTCTTCGATCTCAGCCTCCCGAGTTTCGACTAACCCATAAGAAGTGGATGGGGATCTCTGATGAATATAAGGAAACCATGAGAGGACTCTTTCCAATGCCGATGTAGGAATTGTTTTCTCGGATCTTGAGAGCTCACCATCTTCAGTGTACTCATTGGAGATTGGAAGGAGCCGGCTAAACGAATTGACGTTCTCTGGAGATGTGTCCTTAAAATAATTGTAACAGCCAGTTGAGAGTATGACTACCAATCCACCCATTATCTTCCACACCGTGAAGCCCGATGATCGCAATGCTGGGAATATGACATACTGAGTTGCGGCAATCGTGAGCAGACTGATCGAAGTTCCCACCAATTTCGTAAGATTGTCTTTTTTTCGCAACATGGCAGCAACGATCAAGCCGACTCCAGATGTTAGACATGAAAAATAGATAGCAATCGTTGCGGTAGATGTTACCGAGAGATTCAAATTCGTCCCCCGATCAGCCGTCATCCAAGTAGCGATGGGGTATGAGACGATGGAAAAGAACACTCCCCACAGGTAAAGCCAAAGTTGAGATTCCCAAAATGACCCAGTCTTCGTAAGAGACTCACTAGCAATGCTAGCGATTGCAGAAAATACCGCTATCACCAATCCTGCCACAGGAGCCACGAGCCAGCCCTTTGTATCATTGCCCGAGGGAATATTGAAGAGGAAGAGTCCAAAACAGAGGAATCCAAGAGATATCCATGATCGAGCGTTTCCTTGCTTCCTAACCCAGAAATGATGCAGGATCGCCGTCGCTGGAATTTTCGCAAGCATACATACTTGGAGAAGACTCGGCGATGTGGAAGGCAGAATCGTGAAATATATCAGGTTATTTATGAGGTAAAAGGCCGCTGGAACACCGTATTGCAGAACATCCCTGAAGCCGTTCCTGTTGAACTTTTTTCTTATCGAGGAAAGACCTTCCTCGGAATGATTGATAATTATAGCTGCAATGGCAAGCTTTAGAGTTTCGGAAAGAAGTGCAATCAACGATGGAGTTATCTGAGGAGCCGTATGAAAGGCAAAATATGCGTAGTTTGCGCGTATGGTTTCTCCAACGATATAGATTGAAAGGAGGTTGTTGGTGAAGGAACTCATGATTCAATGGTATGAGGAGAATTAATTGGAAAGATTGAATACAGAAATGAAAGAACACATCTTACAGTGGAAAGCCTTGGCTGTCCTTACTTATTATCAGTGTTCTAGAAGCAAGTAAGGGGCACAACAGAAACGGAGAATTTGTCTCATTATTTGTTGTTTTGATCTATTTTCATCAGCTGGCTTTTCCATACCAAATGTGACCGATCGTGCCAGAAAGGTGGAATATGCACAGGATACTTTTATCGGGCAATTCAGGTCGACAATGATTGACACAAGTAATTGTTTTCTTCAAGAATATTGACCTTCATATATATACATCTCACGATAATGATCATGCCGAGAAGGAGGGAATGGATAAACTATGTATGAACGACTATGTGCATATGTGCAACGGGCAAGCGATAAAAGAAAGATACCAAATATAGAATCGTTTCATCTCTAACTCTTATTACTTGATCAATTGAGTGCTCAACAAGATCCCATGAGATCGATAGATGTCAAAAATTCATCTGCGTCTAGATCTACATAGCGATCGACGCACAAGTGAGTACAGAGGGGTTGTGCTTATGTAAGATCTCACCTAACAACTTGTAGCTCCAAAAAATATATGAGGGGTAAAAAAGGACACTAGCCATAGCAACGTTGCTTGACATCGCGTCTGATACAAAGGTATGTATATATTACCTATTTCCAAGAGTAGAGCAAAAGCACCAGACCCAAAGCATGCAAAAGGTAGATAAACTATGGGGCGTTGCCCGGGATTGAACCGGGGACCTCTTACATGGAGAATTAATCAAGAAGACTAATAGATCCCTAAGCAAGAATTATACCACTAAACCACAACACCTAATTGATTGATAGTTCATGTTAAAAGAACAATATGTACTACAATAATTACCACTCTTACTTCCATATCTCGTAAACAAGCATCTTACATTCTCATTTCATGGTTAACACAATCATCAATTCATCATGTTTTACTATATTTAAATTCCGAGTCTTTAATTACAAAATTAAGTACCTACTGGAGTTGTTCGTTTCGTTGGGTAAAGCATTCGTTCTACTCGTGGCAATAGTATGTAAGCATCCATGATATCAATGAGCCCACCAGTCGATGCATGAATTAACGAAACACACACTTCTCACTTTTTCAAATTTTTTAACAAATTCATTCTCCAATTATTTGATATCAAATTTCATATTTTGATTATTTCATATGTAATGAATAATTGTAATGATTCCTAAGAGATACAATTTGATATGTCAGAATATATCTATAAGTCAATTTTTTGTAGTGTTTTGTCAGTCCGTATACTCACTACTGACCCAATCACATTTCAACATCATCCAGATTCTCTTTATATACCGGATATATTTTCTCAATATAATCTGAGATGAGTAAGAATTTCTAATGATTTTCTACATCTTCTAATATTGTACCAACCCCAGCGTATGCAGATTGAGCTATCTCGAGCTATCTCAGCTCTATCATTGTGTCAGCATCTAATATCGACTGATCTTCTGAACTTCATTCTAGGATAGCATCTACTGGTAGGGTAGTCCAAATGCATATATAATTAGTTGACCTGCAATTGTCATCATTACTGATCAGCAACTGTAGAGGTAAGTGATTTGCCCCGCACTCACTGACGTGTAGGCTTTGTAGGAGAAGATCCATTGGGGGTGACTACAAAACACGGTATGGCATATATTCGACGATATCGGTGTTATGGGAAGCTATATCTGCTTCTGTTCTTAGCTAAATAAGTATTGTCACAGATGTCAGATGGTGTCACCTTTACCCATCATCTCACACAAGATTGTTCCAGTAAGATTGAATCCTTCTCAGCGGGCCAGTGTTTGCAGAAGATGTAAAGAAATTTGAATTGATAATGAAAGCTTAGAAACTATATAAGTGTTGCATAACAAATTTATTAACCGTGAAGCCAGCCTCTTATCACATCATAAACAGGAAGTTTCCCTTCCATCCTCTTCTTATTCACCCGACACGTTCACACCTGGGACCGACCGTCACGGGCACTCTGTAAAAACTGGACCATGAGTAGAGACTCAGTTGATACGTTGTCGTTTCTCCCTAGACCTGCGCGGCTCCAAATAATAATCTATGTCTCTCAATGTACTATCAGACTCCGGTGCCGCTGCTGGTGGATTTAATAGCGAAGAGATTGAAATGGGTCTGGTGTCAAGAGGATGTGCTGCGATAGATGGACCGGCAATGATAGCTTGTGTTGCGATGTCTGGATCTGCTTTAATAATTCTTGGCCCGGCGTATGGATCAACAGGAGCAGTCCTTGGCTCGGTTGATAGGTTGGCAGTGACAGTTCTTGAATCAACGACATCCCATTTAAAAGGGCCAAGCGCGGCATTTAGAATTTGGTTGGCTACAAAGTCTGCCTCAAGCTGGTTTGATAGCTCCATGATGCCTTCGTTCTTCAAATGGGCGATTGCTTCATCGAACTCTACACCTTTTAGAGAGTTTGGATTCTCCCACCTACATTATTAATATGCTGATCTTAAGGGGAGAAAAAGAATATCGACTTACATATCGTCTGGTATCTGTGGGATCAAGAATAGGGCGCCTTTATCAAGAGCCTTACATATTTTATCGTATCTCGATCCAGCAGTGACCCAAATTTGTAGATTCGCTTTGATGACGTCCACCTCATCAGTGATTTTGTCGCATCTTGTGAATGCTGTGATCAGCCGTTGATGTAGAATGCTATGCAATTTATATGACATTACTTTCTGCCCATGACTAAACAACGATGCTAGCTGGTACAAGAAGCTAACGTGGAACCTTCGAAAGATGATGTCTTGCGCCTGTCGCAGGCGCGAATTGCGAACTACAAGGTATGACTCAATAGCGATATCTTCAGCTGACCGATTGGCATTCGAAATCTCAAAGGGCTGCCAAAAACGGTAGGGATTCTCCTTCCATATTTGATAGTGATCTTGTACACTAGGCGGTAGAGAAAAGTTGTGGGTAATGACGAGTGCCAGCGCTGGACATTTAGCCCTCTTTCTGGTGTTGTTGGTCTTACGTAACATTTCATGCGCAGCCCTTTTGTATTTTGTGGGTAAAGATGTGAGAATATTGCAGAGAAATCTTGTAAACTGTAAACGAAGTTATATCTATCTCTCCTGACAAAATGTAGAAAACGGCATCACTTACCTCTTCCTGATCTAACAAAGATTCTACGGTCTGTTCTACATCGTAAACTTTCAGCTTTTGAATAATACTACCGACGGTATGCTTATCATGCGACATGCTGAAACGAGGAGGGAACTTTATCAGTGCCACAAGACTCTAGGGAATCGATCGTCTGGAAAGCGTATGGAAAGATCAGGGGGCTGCGATAAAAGAAACCTGGAGAAATTAAATTGGAAGAGCCGTTTAAATGTTTCGGCTAAAGGATATGTAGAGGAAGCCCGAACAATGGTTCAGTTCTCTAATGAAGAATTAACTGCAGAGATCAAAAGAACTTATAATTTACAAGAAAATAATCATGAGCTGAAAACGGGATTGGCTAATCTTCCGAGCTTTTGCGCTTAGCTATATTCGCCCAGTGTCCCAAGTAGTTTGCGAAAAGGGTTTAGCGACAGTGACAACGCACTTTTCAGGGCTTTGTTAGTAGTAAATTGTTTTCGCTTAAGATCCCAGATGAGTTACAAAAGGAGGTTATCGCATGGGCTTCATGCGTAATTTCTCTTTCAGCTCCTAGGTCACCAAATTATGTTCATTTCTAATCCTAGACGTCTATGAAAAGAATTCGTAGGGGATTTAGGACAGGCTCGAGACAGGACCACAGCAGGTCATATTTCCTGGTATGTATTATTAATGAATCAACCTGATTAGTTCCGGTAAAGGGAAATTAGCGCCCGAATTTTCCATCGCTTTTAATTCCTCTAGCTGCATTGGTTTTATGTGCTCGCCTCAGGCGCGAAAGATGTTCTTGTTCGTGGTATACGAGGGCGTGTCTTTGATGATTGCCGGGTCTGTGCGCAAGCACTTTTTCACACCAAAATTTACCCATTTTAGAATTCAATATTAAATCAATCAATATTATTATATATTTGAAATTTTATTAAATAATAAATTTTTATTTAAAATTTAATAATATAGTTTTAGCTTTTTTATTAAAGTTTTCAATTAAGTCAAAATTTATATTGGATTTTTAATGCTCAAAATTTTTATAAGAAATATGCTTATTTTAAGAATCAAATTTCTATATAGAATTTTATTATCAATTCAATTTAAAAATTAACAATTCTAATATCAAATTAATTATTAATTAAATCTCTTTATATTTTTCAAATGTCAAAGTTTTATGATATTTTATTTGAATTATTATATATTTATAAATATATAGAATAAAGCATGGTTTTGGTAAGGAAATTCGCTTAAATTTCAGCCCGGCATTCATCAAAGACACGCCCTCGTATGGTAGGAATTAATCTTGGACCGATTTGTCATTGCGTACCAGGTGTCATTGGTTATCTGTGATGTGTAATGATTGTATTCATTCCTTTATATATGGTGAGATAAGTTGCCCTTAGCGAAAGAACGAGCTTGATAAACTTCGGTTGATGTATGGTAGCCTGATTCATAACTGACTTAAGAATGAAATGGCACGTTCCCTTTCTGTACTTTTTTTCTCCAACATAATACTTGTTTTTATTTTTTATACTTGGAAATAATCATCGGAATAATGACTGCCATTTTTGACAACGACAAATCAACAGAGACCTCAAGCAATAGCCCAAATTCAAACCTAGTTTCGTATGGGTGAAGTCGAATAGTAATTGTTACTATGAGTATATCTTGATACGGAGAGTCAAATTATTTTTAAAGTTTGAGACCAGAGGTGCGCAGAGGGAACAAGTATACCTAAGGCCAGCGAAGAGGGGCGAAAATGTTGGGGCGGGTGTAGATGGACATGTCGTTGTAAGCAAGTAAACGACATTGACAATGTGGGGCTGGCAAATGAAGATCGAGATGGAAAGATGAGAGGATGGACTGGGCAGATGAGATAACAGGATAGCGGAGGCTGGCTGCAGGTCAGAGGAAATCATAATTGCTTATAGGCAAGTTTGAATCTTTTCTTGGATCGCAAAGGTGAACAGCTAGGACATACAAACTAAAAGAAATTGGGGGTAACAGTACGCATTGCAATATGACTCTTTCATGAGGCAATACGCCCCTTTTGAGGTGAGATTCGGTCATGATACGCCATCTATAACTTCCTCTCACACGATGCAGACTGATGTAAACGCATTCATGGCAACACACTTGCGTGACTCCTAATGCTCCAGGCGTGTTGGTACAGTTCTAACTAGAGCTAGTATACTTATAAAAGCGAAGAATTAACTGCATCTCAATCTTTCATTGGTATCAAGTAGTATCTCAAAAATATCTTTGAGCTGGTTCTTGATCGTTCACTTCGTAGACTAGTGCTGAGTGGATCAAGGTACGATGAAAGACGCTCAGCGATCGACGAGATGCAACAATGGGGCATCATCAAATTTGATGGGTGCAGTGGGGAACGGACGAAGCGGTTTGAAGTTGTAAGGCTTGGAAGGAAAAGAGGGCAAGTTTGTTCTTCTCGGAGCAAAAGGATTAAATAACGTCCGAAGCTATGTTTTTCAACATGATCGTCCGCAAGTTTGTGTTTGTGATGGGCATCTAAGACCGCATGCTTCAATTGCGCGCAAGATTCCGAGATAACACCAAATCAAATAACTGTAAAGGTAATTGTTGGAATCTATAACGATCAGAAGGTCGTCGTGGGAGAATGATGTCCATCTTGGAATTGAAACAAACGCGTGATGGAGATATTTCATAGGGTTGTTTGTATGCATACCTCAAACGGTTTATGGTCAATGGTTGAACTTTCAATAAATTGATTGGCTGTCGTCTTCATCTCGAATGATGAGGGAAGTATATACAGCAAAACCTCTCTATAAGGATACCGGTTTTTGTAGTCTTTTTTAAGAATATATAGAAGTATCCTTATATAGAGGTTCCGCTTAATCCCGATATAATAATAATTTCCTTCCGATTAGTTCCGATCAAGCTAATACTGTAACATTTTTGAGTTTCAATTAAACCTTTTTAAAATCCTAATATATTTATATTAATCCTGATAATTTTATTAGTTCAATAAAAAAATATATATAATCTTGAAACCAAAAAATATAAGAATATCCTAATAAAAGGGTTTTAAGGATATAGGTCTTTTTTAGGCCTAAAAATTTTTGAGATCGAAAAATATATCCTTATAGAGAGATTATCCTTATAGAGGGGATCCTTATGGAGAGGTTTTGCTGTAGTCGGCATCAAAATAAGTCATGTAAGCAAGAACACTACGATGTCTTGTCGACAGACATGTTGTTCAAAACACAAGATACTTTCTTTCCCCGCCAAAGAAGGCCTAGTGCGTTGAAGTGGCTCAGTGGGGTGACTTTTGAAAGTGGGGCACAATAGCTATCATTTTTCTACGACACAGGAAGGAGAGAGACGGAATAATTATATCGTACTCTGCACCTGCCTAGTTGGGTAGGTAGGTAATTAATCGCATATAACACAAATTATACCAATTATTCGTGCACCTCATTGTTCTGTTCTTTCGATTCTATGACAAAAAGTGTAATTTAAATATCATCACGACAAAATAGAAAACGGGCCAAATATGTATAAATCGATGACAAACGGACCGACCATTAGCATTTTGGCTCTCCGGCTAAAATGAAATGGTTAGCGCCATTGAAATCTCTTTCCTCTGTCGTGATTTGTACCGTGGACTAAATTGAACATCGTAGTGGATATTCTCGGGAATATAAAGGCGGCACAGTACGGTGTACTAAATAACTGGCTAGGTACAGTGCGACTAGTATCACTTCCATCTTCACTTGTTTCCTTCTTCCCAAACCCATTCAGAGGTAATATTTAGTCAAGTACGTACTAGATAACCAGTGACAACATGGCTCACAATGGGGAAGACAATAAGAGTGTCATAATTGAGGCCCGAGATGATGCTCAATTGGTTAGTATTCGCTTTATACCTCAATCAATCCCGATGATGGATGACATTCAAACTAATCTTATCTACTCGATCAGGAAACTCTTGGCTACAAACCCGTCAGTCAAAAATTTTATCCAAAATACAACGACTCAAAGACTCACAAAAATGATATAGGTGTTACACCGAACATACACTCTCTTTGAGAACTTCTCAACATCCTTCGCTGCCTTGTACTTCGTTGGAGGTGTAAGAGTTACTTACACCACTGGAATCGCCTCCGGAGGTCCTTTAGCTTATTGGTTAGTTGCGCACCTGAAGTCTAGAACTTTTCACATGACTTCTAATACTTTTGACTGTATAGGACGAGTTATCTTGTAACATGCTTTTTTACCTTCATAACTGCAGCCGTCATAGCAGAAGTCTGTTCTGCGTCACCTTCAGCTGGTTCCATCTATCTTTGGGCAGCTGAAGCTGGAGGAGCCAAGTATGGTCGACTTTTAGGATTTGTTGTTGCCTGGTGGAGTACAACTGCTTGGATGACCTTTTGTGCAAGTAAGCTCAACTCGGATTCATTATTCCCCGAAATTTATTCTAATTACTTGCAGGCAATACCCAAGGAGCTGTCAATTATATGCTTTCGGTAAGTTAACGTTCACGTAATATTGCCACAGCTCTACGCGCGAGTTCTAAACGTCATTCATTGCTGGATGTTGTCTGATATCTATTAGGAAATCGTTGTCTTCAACGTTGATTTTCCAACGGATACCAGTGATATCAAGTTCCGAGCAGTCCAATGGATTTGTACTGAGATTCTCCTCGCACTAGCCGCAATCGTGAATTTTCTACCACGTGAGTTGTCACACTTGATCGGAACAATTATTAAATATTGACATATGAATCAGCTCGTCTTTTTAAGTATGTCTTCTGGGTATCGAGCTTTTTAGTCATGCTTGATTTCCTTCTTAACCTCATCTGGTTACCAATAGGAGCTGCCCGAACCATCGGTTTCCGATCCGCAGAGGAGGCGTTTATGACAACCTACAATGGAACCGGTGCACCTGCTGGATGGAATTGGTGTTTGTCTTATCTCGCTACTGCTGGTATCCTCATTGGATTTGACGCTTCTGGACACGTTGCGGAAGAAACCAAAAACGCTTCGATCACAGCCGCCAGAGGCATATTCTGGAGTGTGATTGTTAGTGGAGTAGGAGGGTTTGCCACCATCATTCTATTTCTGTTCTGCACACCTGATCCAGATACTCTGTTCTCTTACGGCTCGCCTCAACCATTCGTACCTCTCTATGCCGTTGTCTTAGGACAAGGTGGACATGTCTTCATGAACATCATTGCAGTGGTTGCACTTTGGTTCAATACCGCAATTGCTATTGTCGCTGCATCTCGACTTGTCTTCGCAGTGGCTCGTGATGGTGTTCTTCCATTCTCGGGTTGGGTATCACGCGTTTCATCTGAAGGTCAACCCCGAAACGCTGTCCTTGTAATTTGGGGTTGTGCCTCGCTTGTGACTTGCACCATCTTACCTTCTGCAGTCGCATTCACATCCCTCATATCCGCTGCTGGTGTTCCATCGGCAGCCGCATATGGACTTATTGCTTTTGGAAGATTTTTCTTGACACCAAATACATTTCCCAAGCCAAGATGGAGTTTAGGTAGATGGAGTAGACCATTTCAATTCATCTCAATCTTTTGGAATGGTTGGGTTGTGGCAATCCTTTTCAGTCCTTATGAATTCCCTGTCACTGCAGCTACATTGAATTGTAAGTAACCCTCGACCATTTCTACAACTGCTCATCCCTCCGCCATATACTGATACAACACAGATGCGCCAATAATCATGGCAGGTGTAACAATCCTAGCACTGATTTCCTGGTGGTTTACACCCGTTGGAGCATGGCTTCCCCGAGAACGCATATCACATTTCGTGGAAAGTGAAGGAGCGCCTGCGGAAGGTCTCCGACAAGAACCGGATGAACAACTTCAGGTGCCTGAGGTAGAAGGGGATGCGGTCCCAGCTACCTATTCTGAGAAGTGAGATACTCGATGATCGCTTTGATTTTTTCTTTTGAAGGATTAAGATACTGATCTTCTTTCTGTGTATTAAAGTGGAGGGCTTTTAGATGGGACCGCGCAGGAACAAAGAGATCCATGAACACATTGATGCGAGAGTAAATAGATTTGAAAGAACGGCAATCGTTGCAGCATATATTTGAGAATGGTTTCATACACATAGAATAATAATACCTAGATCTTTCGATGCCGAATCAGACATGGATTTTATGAGATCACTGGCCTTCAAATGATTAAGATTGCAATTCGCAATGTGCAATTATTAGCTTTTGAGTAGCTGATGAGATGTGGTACACTGGGCTTTTATGAAGTAACAACTCGTCTTACCGCATCGGGTTTTTACTCTTTATATTGCCTGTTGAAATTGGCAACCGCTACCTAGGTTGTGGCTGTACCGCAACGTTCTTTCTCAACTTGTCCAAACATCTCTACCCCAAAGAATGAACCAAGCCTTCCTCACAGCACACTGCACTTTCCAAATGCACATCCAATCCTACGCCTGTGTGGAAACAGCAGGACCTGTCCACTCCAATTCCCAAGGTTTAACACCAATACGCACACCATTCTCATCAACATTGACGCATCGAGAGCACTTCTCATGTTCGCATTCACTATTGACTATGAGAATTTTCTGCTCCTTTCCCCGAACGACACCGATCTTCTGTTCTTCTCTTGTGCAGGTGGGCGAATGAGATGTATGCTGACACTATATGTATATTTTAGTTTGTGTAGATCGCAGGGAAATGGGAAATGTAACGGCAAAATGTGTAAAAAGGAGAAAGGGACACTAACCTGGCAACAGCGGAAGAAAGAAGCAGTTGTGGATTTTTCATCGACGACTTCATTCTGGGCGCTTGAGTCTTCTGAGGACGGTTCGGCAGACTGTTGCAGGATGTCGGCTGCGCCATCGAGGAGAATGCTGGTGTCGATGTGGGATTGTCTTTTCTCGGATGCGCGGGCAAATAATCTGGACTCGGAGGCTTCGTCGTTGGGCTTTGATTGCGTTAGCTATGTCTTTCGGAAAGGGTAGAAAGAGGAGGGATCGCGTGATGAGTCCTTCCTTCTCTCTCAGGTACCCAAAGTAGATCGATAGAGGTTTAGAGCCATAGTGACAATGAGAAGAAAATCCTAGATTAGAGTATGGATAGAAGATAACGTACCATACTATTGAGTAAATTCAAAATAGAAGGATTGAAAGAACTGGTGGGATTATTGCTTTCGTAGAGAATCGCTCGATTGCGCATGATGATTGCCGTTACGCTATTCTCAGCAGAGACACCAGTCGCATTGCGAACGGCGGGGGCAGAAAATGATGACATGTTGGCAGATTAATTATTGGGAAGTACAGTAATGACAATAAATGGCATCAAAGAATCCTTTTCCAGAGATTAATTGATGGGAGAGTGATTGTTTAAAAACAACTTGTGTTGGAAAGATGGTGCTTGTGTTTTGAAGAAAGGGGATTTTCGGCTCGGGTTCCTGCTCTTTTATTGGCTGGAATTTTGCTGGGGAAGCTTCAACCGTATTGTTTTATTGCAGTGGTTTTTTTTGATCTGCTCTTGGCTATATTGTTGAACTGGTACAGTAATAAAAAGGTTGACTGGTGATCTCAATAATTCACTGCTTGAGCTAAAGGCCTGGTGATTAAAATTATTGATAGCTTTGCACAGTCAAAGAGTGGCTATACAAAGGTGTGATCTCTACTATTTATATGGTTTGAAGAGAGGGTCTGGCCTGTAGTATGAAAATCTTCTAACGAATACAGAAATCTAGATGCTATCATCTCATTTCCAATTGTCGAATTCTTGGTGAACTATCTCTTAGAAGCAGAAAATAAGATGCTCCAGTAGCCAGTATATTCGACAAGTTGTTTTAACTTTACCATGTTAGTTCTTCAACTAGTTTTCTTTCTTCTAATGAGAGAAACTAATAGCACTGAGGTATTGAATCAGATTTCAAACGTCACAGTATTTTGTCCCAAATCTTATTTTTTCTCCCATTAGGAACTGATAGCTATCACATAGCTACCACACCCTGTATTACGTTACAAGGTGAGAGGCTATTTCGCAGTTTGAACAGCATGCTCCTCAGAGAACTTTGAACTTCCATTTAAAAGCGAGCTTAAACGTTCTACAGGTATTTACTGTTATTTCTCAATATTTTGTAGTGGCAAATGGATATCATAGTTGCTCAAGGTGAGGTCTACAAGGTAGATATTGATAATATCACATCTGTATTTTTATGAAGAGAACGAAGTATTTATCATGATGATTTTATTATGAATAGTAACGACCTTTAGTTTTAGGTGAGACTCGTATAAGGCGTGAGTATTGTCCCAGGATTCAAGGTGACATTCATAATGACCCAAGGCAGAAAAGAGTTTAAGGGCAAGAGAGAGAGATAATTGAATGCACTGCAACGTCAAGAACATGAAGACCAAAAACAATTTATTCATGATTGTGAATACTAGCCAGACACATCTTCTATGATAGCACAAAAAAAGCTTCATTCTGATTGGAAAGCATGTTCCATTCACCACCAGTCCTACATCCATCCAATACCCCTCCACATCCTTCTTATCGACTTCGCCATTGAGAGATTCAATGGCCCCAATTTGATCTCTCAACATGCACTCCGAGTCAACTTCCATCCTCTGTCTTCCCTTCATGTACCTGGATTGCTACCACTGCTGGCTTCTTTGGCCTGTTTGTTGAAAATGATGATGCTTTTTGTTTGTGCATCTAACCATTTTGCTTCTGCCTTTATTTTCCGGGTTTTCTGCATTGATTTTTCTGATCGATGCTCTCTTCCTCTGAAGTTGAAGGTCAAGAAGTTTGTCGAAATGTTGCTTCTGTGCTGGCATCTTGGACATCGTAAATATGTGATGTGGTACTCGTGGTTCAAAGTTAGGATTTCAATGTTTGTTGCAGTGATGGTGTAATGCAAGAACTGATGTAAGTTGTGGTACTGAGTTGAACCCATTTTCGACACTCATGTACAGGATAATATATAATAAGCATATGTCTTTATGAGTTATGGTGTGAAACACCCACGGCACAATAGGATTGTAGTAGAACTAGACAGTATCTCCCAGCAACAAGACATCAAACAATGAAAGAAAGTTCTGGAACTATACCGAGAAACGTTCCGATTCAATGTGATTCCTGCAAAAACCATGCGTGAGCTACTATAATGTCAAAGAACTTGGTAAAAGAAATCAAATTCTGCAATAATGCCTAATTTCTTCGAAGGTCTGGAAACATCTATAGAGCTGTATCTCAAGTAAGGAGGTGCAAGTAACCTCTTGGGGTGTCAATTTACAAGCTCACAATACAGTTGTACTAAATAATGGAGACTTCGAGATCTTTGGGGCGAGTCTCTGTGTCCAGTTAGATCTGGTTATTTATGTCATGACATCTCACAAAGCCTCGGGAAAGCCACAGGCCATTCTCACTAAGCATAGCTATGTCCATTGAACGGAAGTATGAAAAGCAGTCAGAAAGAAAAAATCGCAAGTTTATCGAATTTGCAAGCCTTATATGTTTCGGGGAGAATTCCAAAGTCCATATTCCCCTACTTCCCAACTCTCCGCTCTGAGCTCTCCTATGTCTTCTCCGTAATATATGTAGTAACACTCTCATGTTGACCATGGAAGATGAAAAATCTGATGAGATACGTGTACCGTAATGATTTTAGCTTCATTCGACCTCTCAGTAATGGTGTTCGTCTCGCACTAGAGTTCGCTTAGCCAAGCAGCTTAGGGAGTCCGCCATCCCTAGCTTCATCCACACTTTGAACGTATTCAATTATTGACACTAAGTTTACTTCAAAATCTGCGTCATTCATATCTTACGGCACAAATATACATTCTCATACAGCTCGGGTCAATCACATTCAATATATCACCATTTCTTTTTCCTCATAACGACGCTGTACCGAAGCAGAAAATCCCGTACATCTCGAAATATTCTCTTCTGTAATTTTTAATAAACTTAGATATATTTTCATAATTTTTCTCCTCCATTTAAGACTGAAACTCTCAAAACTTCAAACACAAATAAAACCTCTCCAATGTATCATTCACAGAGAACTCTCAGGCTCAATTCGAAGATGGCGCCTGGACCGAGTCCCTTGTCTGCCTCATTCTCGGACTCGGAAGGTGACCACCCGCAGCGTCAGGAACGTGAAGATCTTTCTTCAGAGCTCATAAAAAGTCTCAAGCAAGCTTGTCGGAATCTCGAGAGACGTATGATTGAGGAAGAAGAGAAGAGAATGTGGGCAGCGGTTACAGCAGGAAAGTCGATTAAGGCGACGAAGCGATGGAAAGGAAGAAGTCCTGCAGGAAGCGGGAGCTCAGAGAATCGAAGGAAAAATTGAGAGAGGGACTTTTATTCACTTATTCTTGCAATATGGATGATACAGTTGGCATTTTGTAGTAATTTGGGTGCCGTTATTCTATACTATTAGACTATACACAGGAAGGTGAAGTGTTTGGAAAGTTATTAAAGATGGAGAATATTGTGCCATTTCAAAATTCAATGAAATTCAATATATCATCAATTTATTACCCGATTGATTCAATATACAAATTGTACCATGTTCTTGAAGGTGTCAAGTGACTGTCATGAAACGGACAATGAGAATTTTTAATTTAGATTAGATTATTGAAAGTACTATTTACTAATGACATATGAGTCCGTCTCTCATTAAATGATAGGCTTAAGCTAGTAGGTTAGTTGATTTTCTATCCAAACTAAGCATATCCATATAACTCTTTTCAGTTTTCCCCCTCTCGTAATTATCATCAAAAACATCTATTATCCGCCCCATCAAATCTTATTATAAGAACATATAGCTACTCTACAGTTTTCTTACTATCTTAAAATATCTTATTATATCACAATTATCTAGCTGTGTTGGCACCTATTACTGCATCGTGGGAAACAAACGTCCACAAAATGACTTCGCATCTCAAAGATTTAAACGTTCTTCGAACAGGAAGCTGCAAAAGTTCAGAAGCTCATTGCAAGTCATGCTGGGAAGATAAAGTCATCCAAACACTTCAACAAAATTTTGGTTTCCCTTCTAAAGTGGCATCACAACCACCACAATGCAGTTGCGAATTCTTTCAAGCTGGTAGCCCCGATGCTTCTAGAGACTGCATAATCGTATCCATGGACCTCGAGATAAGTAAGGAGCAAACCCAACTCAACGAAATCGGCATCTGTACGCTAGATACCAGAGACCTTCAAAATTTTAAGCAAAAGCCGACGCCTGACACGAATAAACTCCTATCGACATACAGCTTTGGACTCCACCATTACAAAACAATCAGCAAAAGATTCCGATATGGCGAGGCCGAATACATGGAAGAACATAAAGTTAAGGATTTGCTTCATCGGGTCTTACGAACTGGAAGCCCTTTCCCTCAGTCAACGGAGACCCGTCAAGTGATCCTGATAGCCAATGGCATTTTCCATGATTTGTTCAATTTGAGAAAGATGGAATTTATGCCGGGTCTCAGTGAGTTCCCAAACATTATGGTAGTTGATACATGCGATCTTTTTAGGCGTCTTGTCAAGGAAGAGATGAGAGCACGTCTCTGGGTGATTCTAAAATTCTTCCACATCCCATATTGTTATGATTCTCTTCATCATGGTGGCAATGACGCAAACTTGACTCTAAAAGCTCTCATCATGCTCACTCTAGAGAGCTGCAAGAACTTTAGTTGGAGTCCGGAGCAAAACCAGAACAGGGCATTGTTATTGCTCGTTGCTCGTGAGGCAGCGCCCCTTGCCGAATGGCAGTTGCGAAAAACGACGAAGAAAGCAACCATCGCTCAAAAGAAAGCGTTCCGAGAAACGAGGTTCAATCTATGGGCGGATAATGGCGATAAAGACGATGACTGTTTTGGATTCCTCCTTGAACTCCAGTAAATGACTTTGAAGCGATTTGTTTGGCAGTCTTTACATTTTACCATCTGGATTACAACTCATCACTTGTAAATTTTGTAGATATTTTCAAGTATATAGACAAATTTCAATCTGTCAAACAAGTTTTATGGCCTGAATGTATTGAAAAATTCCGCAGCTCCAATGTTCTAAACGTCCGTCGAAGAAGGAAGGAGCATGTTGGACCCGCGAAAAGCCTCACTCGACTCACACCCTACATGATCAACGAGTGTTCCCAATGCAGATTGTCACGTTCGAATATAGCTCCTTATCGTGGAATGTCAAAAATGCTGAAAATTTTGACTGGACGACACGTGAGGGATTCGAACCCACGAATCTTTTTACAAAACACTGCCCTTCGATAGTGGAAGGAGCTTTGACCGCTTGCTTAACGTGCCTGTTTGTGTTTGTGCTATTTGATAAATATATACAACATGTTGTATCATATATCAAACAGGTTCTTGTATCTTTGTATGCTGATGCGGGGGATTGCTTGTCTCTGACCTTTAGCGATGGAGGAAGGTACGAGGAGTTGGCTTGCCACATGTGAACACGCCTTCAAAAGAAAGTAGATTTCGGTTATTCAACCAGAGCTCTAACTGTGATGTCTTTCTGTGAAGATTTAAAACACGACTTCTTAGATGATTCACGCAATGCAGAAAGAAAGCTGATCTAGTTCGCCATGAAACGTTCAAGATTGCCAATGAAAGGCAAAGGAAACATTACTGGAGGACAACAAGTCACCAATCATCTTACCAGATTTCGCTTGAAGACAGTATATTATTCGGAGTCTTATAATGAGAGCCTTGAAAATAAGCTACAGTCACAACTTCCGGAGGAAGTCTCACATGAACATGGCTGTTGATTTGTGTGTTTCCTTATGAGACCAAAGTAGACAGCCTCTCATAAGAATGTATGAGACAAAAATCTGCTAGATTTGTGGATTCAAAATTAGTAAGTTTATCAGTGGCTGAGGGTGTATTGCTTGAAGAAGGAACGAGGTACTCGATACTCAATGGATTTGCCGAGCCACTATCAGCTCCAATACCATAATCAAGAGCAGTGCTTGGAAAAATCAAGAAATGACTTATAAATCTAATCAGAAAATAGAAGAATTAAAAAATAAGAACGGTACTGCCAATTGCACCCGGAACCCCAAAGGGAGAACAGTGTGACCTGAACCACAGATAACTAATTTTGCGTTAGTACCCGTGTTCTTGATATGTTTGCTATGTTTGATGATATCGAGTAGAACTTTGAAAGATATATGATAGAAGGTCCTACAGTTAGCTTCCTGAATTATCGGTGGCGTGGTGTGTGAGGTGATTGAGTGGGAGGAAGGAATGAAGACATAACTGACCCAGGCTATTGGAATTCCGACTGCCGACCCTTCATGCCATTATATGATCACACACATTGCACAATGATCAATGTAGAGGTGACACCCATTCCAGAAGAAAGAGTGGCCTTAATGATGCGAGCATATAGCAAGAAATTTGAATCTACTGATATACCGGAGCTGAACGCTTTTAAGTATATAGGGAAGCTCATACCAATTAGAGTATTGTGGACATGGCTACTTATTCATTACCGCAGATGGAACATATACGCTGCAAACGTACGGCATGAGTAAAAGTCTGTGACACGTCCGCTTCGAGAGAGAAGCATTACAGTCTCTAGGAGTTCTGTTCCTAGGCTGTGATATTCGGACTGGAATAATACTAGATTCCGAGCATGTTCGACGAACATTGTCTCGTATTTGATGGTGCAAAAAGTCATGAAGATTTGCCGCGTGAATGGTAGCACTGCTTATGTAATCGACCGTCTGTCATCTTTCTGAAAGCACTCTAAACCATTCAGATGTTGTAACAAGCCCGTGAGAGGAGTACATTCTGGTATCAGATATCGGACCAGTCCCTTATGAACCCATCACTGATGTTCCAATTGTGATAGTCTTAGAAGCAGCTTACTTCCAAATACACAAAAAGCTGTTCTTCTCTTTCGCGATGCCCAAGTTTTTCTCGAAATATAGTAACCATCTGGCGAGACCTAATACTCATAATCGAGATCCGCAGAGCCCACGAGTAGCACCAGGGACCATACGATTCTTGCTAATAATAGCACGGAATCTATTGATGTTGCATGTATTTGCTTATTCAGCTCCCTGTAATTTTTCCGTTTTGACTGAGTATCATGCCTAAAGACTTGAACTTTTGATGGACTACTTAGAGATAGGAGCTGCATTATAGCAAAAGGTATGCTATGTGTAGAATCGTTGAGAAAAACGAGTCTTAGCATTAACTGAATAGAGAAACGTGGTTGCGAGAGCGAGCTATATGTACGGCTATAAGTCACTCTGATGCAATGGATATCAAATAGTGAGACGCTAGAACTGTTAGACAGGTTTACTAATGAGATCCAAGTCGGCATGAGAAGGACAAGTGGCTGATTTCTTTTATATCTGTTCCAGTATCTAGTACTCTGGTAAGCTCTAAGGAATGTGTGATGGCGAATCTCAGTGGAAGGGTTTCCTCTCGCTCCTAATTGACTTCTCAGGAGATCATGCGTATAAGTGAGAATCATTCGTTACACCAGTATTCAAATGATATCGGTGCAAACCAGATTCCACTGAGAAACATGAAACATGAAACACAGGAATAAGCTTACCTGTTCACTGCAATACATGTTCGGAACTATGCGAAGTCGCCTGCGGAGCTTTCATCACGTCTCTACAACGCTTCCATGGACTCGATAGTAACTCGATCTAAAAGAGTAGGTTGTGAGAGTATCTAGACGCCCGTTCGTGTATTGAACTGATTCCTGCTCTAGCTCGGAGAGATGGGTGACTCTCGCGTTTGCGAAACCAAATTTGAGTGTATAAACCTTGCTTGTTACCGAGTCAAAGTTACCCTGATATGTACGTATGTGTAGTTGTAAGACTTAAGAAAAGAGACAAATGATATGTGAGTATATGAAGCTGGGGTTTCACATCTTGAAGCCCCATAAGAGCAAGGGGATATATATTTCTAGCAGCCCTTGTTGCGATGTGATCGTTTCTTGACAGATAGCAATTTATACTTACGCTTATTGTTCCTTCGCGTCTGATCCGTTAAGACACATGCCTGCCGATGATTGACAAGAGCCTAGTGATCGGCGGAACGATGAACAAGGGTCGTCACTCGAAGCACAAGGCAGGCTCGCACACGTATGACACCAGGCATGCATATGCACATAAAGAGCGCTTGTAACTCGAACTAGTTCCATCTACCGAACTCGGGACATGTGTATTGTATGCCATCCGAAATAGATGGATATCGAGCGACCTCTCTTGTGAACGACAGTAGTCCGGATGCTATCCGAATATATGTTCTATCCCACTGCTGCTTACTTGGAGATCACCAGTGAATTTTCGAGCATCTCGCGTTGGAATTATCTGTTCGATTGCCAATGGATGTCAGCAACAACAGCACGGCTCGTATATGGATTCAGGCTGATTTGTCAGATGAAAATTTACATGCTGAATTTTAGACGTTTCCTTAGTGAATTTCCCACGCCAGCTGTCTGTTGCAACGGTTGCGACCGAGTGATTATACATAGGTACGACTAGTATACCTACTCACGGAGTAAATAAGTGAAGAGATCTCATGGCTGACATTCCAAGTATTAAACGCACAAATCTGCAAAGTTGTTGGAGTCGGATAAGTATGTAGTATCTGTGCAATGTGATCTGATGCTTGTTTTACCGAATTGTATTGAAGGGGCGAGGGGGGAAGATTTGTGATGCTCAGGCGTTTTTATCGCTACGAGCCTTACCACATTCCAGGGTTCCTAGCGTGTAACCTTATTCACAAATGCTCCAAGCATCTACCACCTCACAAGCCTTCCCAAGCCATCACATTCATTTCAAGAGTTCATGATATTGTAATCATTTGCGGATATATCAATACAATCGAAGGAATATCTCTTATTGAAGATATTAAACACTGTTTGATAGTATAGTTCTTACTTGATAAAGCTCTTGGCGCATCGATCTCCTTTGAACATTCAAGATGGATTATTCATATTACACTCCGAATGCTCAGCCGTTCTTCCCTCTTCTTCCTCCTACTCCAACTCACACAAACGCATCAACTACCGACGAATTCAGCAACTCTCCACCTGTATTTGTCTCATCTCCTGTGAGCAGAATGTTCCTGCTAACATCAAACAGCAGGATGTCTTCGATCAATTCCAACCCTATGATTATGCCAATCATTACGACTCACGCATTCCTAAAGTCACAACCCCGCTTTCACAGCACAAACCATCGATTTCCCATCCCATGTACACCGACATGCCTACCGATATAATCGACGATGCGATGCGACGAGATAGCGACGAGGAGGAGAATTTGACTCCGGCACAATCCCGGCGCAAAGCCCAAAATCGCCAAGCGTAAGATCATTTCTTTGAACTCACTCGTTTTGAAGCTCTACTTCATACCCATAGTATACTAAGACCTGAGGAATTAGACAACGGGCCTTCCGCGAACGCAAAGAGCGACATGTAAAAGAGTTAGAAGCCAAACTTGCAGAGTTCGAAAAAAGTACCGGAGATCTGGCCCAAGAAAACGAGCGCTTGAAGCTACAGCTCACAAAAGCTGCGACGGAAAATGAAATATTGAAAGCGACGTCCAGCCATTCGAACCATGGAGGCTCACAACCTCTATCAAATGTAGGGCCCATGAAATATACTCCTACGGACTTTTACAGTGAGGTTCTACATGCGCACGACAATAAATTTCCCAGCCATCGAATTGTAACGAGTGATAAAGGGGAAAGGTTGTTGGCGGCGGGTGCGACGTGGGACTATATCATCAAACATCCGCTGTACAAGCAAGGTCTGGTGGACGTAGGAAGTGTTAGTGAAAGGCTGAAGAACGCTGCGAAGTGCGATGGGCAAGGACCAGTTTTCGAGGAGAGCGCAATACTGGATGCAATCGAGAACAGTGTCGCAAGTGGCAGTGATGAGTTACTATGATTTATGAGATGGCTTGGAAGAATTTCAAAGGTGTTAAGGTTGATTGTTGGACATATGGGACGAGGGAGACTGCTCAAGACGAGTGAAGTACACCAAGGAGTTCATAGTTGCGTTCTGCTTTGGAGTTTTGGGTGGTAGTGTGTATTCATGAAATAATTAGAGCGTTTAGTGAACGCTATTCAATTTATCTCTCATCCTTGAAGTCGTTTCCTTCTTGGTATTTCTTGGATATTCACATTCAAATCTTCAAAAGGTTCTTCGAATGTCTAGTTTGCATAACAGAATGACTGATAAACGACTGAACTTTAGCTACTTTATTCCTGTCATATGAAAGTCTCCATTCCATGTAAGCCAGATCCACGGAACAATGATTAATGACATTCCCTAAACATTCATAAAGTTTCCATAATTTACATTCATTTTATGGCAATATAGAATCCTTAAAATCCCATTGCTCATCATTGAACTGATTCTTTATTATTGATCAGCAAAGGGATTCAGTAAAAAGTGATTAAGCGAGTTCATTAAGAAAACTACTAGGTAGTATTCTGTTTTAAAGTATTGCTCTCTACAGGGTGTTATGGGAAGCATAGACTATTATGAGGGCATTCAGAGGTAAAGAGCTCTGATACAGGGCAGAGCTCCTACTCGTACTAATTGAGGCTAGCTTCTCATGAACCATACGAGCATACCTACGTGCTGATCCATATATTCGCCAAACAAATCTTTGAACTCCCAATTTCAAAAAGAACCGAAAAACGCCCTGACTCCCCTCTATACTACTTTCAACTTTGTTCTAATCCACCTGTGATCTACTTTTCACTAGTTCGTAAACCTATCTTTACTTCTTGCTACTATTCTTTTTGCCTTGGTCTTCTTAGTACCACGTTCTCCATTGTGCACCTCATCACATTTCGCCTCATACTGACTAATCTTCCTAGTCTCTTTTTCAATTACTAAAACCAAGCGCGCAATGCTGTTCTTCATTTGCTTGACTTCTTCAGAACGAACTTTAATGTCTTCACCTGCATCCTTTGCAATATCAAGCGCATTTTCTAGTTTCTGACAATCCTTCTTGCGTTGGGCTCTCTTCTTATCTAATGGAAGCCTTTTAACATAAGCCTTGAGAATATCAAGAGAAGATTCGTCCCATTCAAACTTTTAAGTGTTTTTCGGCTTTAAGATAGTCGCCAAAGGCTACAACTTTCACCAACGTCTAGAACATATGCGTGATTAGTAAAATGTACCTTTCGTAGAAGGAATGTCAGTGAGATCTCACATGTTCTTTTCCCCATTCCCCTATGGCCTGATCTCTCAACCACATTTCAGCTAGCGTTAGAAGAGTACTTGACCCATCACCAATAACAAATGTCCCCAGAATTCTCTTCTTTGCTTTGGATGGGTCAGAAAGAGACACTAATGTTCTATCTTCCTTGGAACAAAATGCTTTCTCAGATCCTTCTTTGCGGAGACCGACTACTGATTTATCTTGTAGTTGATACCAATAAATCTGAACTCGTACCATGATTGCTCGATACTGTGATGATGACTTGATAACGATAGGGATGAATTTATAGCTGCAAAGAACGATTCGAAATAATGATATGTGTGTACAATGTATAAAGTACGTATTGAATATTAAATCATAAAAGAATTATATCGAGCTTCATGTAGAACTTCCGCGCAACAGTATACTGGGTATCTACAACTAAGGGGTCTCGCGAACATCGAAGCGCGAAGGGTCCCAAACCAGTCCCCCGGCGCCGACCAAGCAGCAGGCCATGATCTAGACAAAGGCTCAGATAAAACATATGTCACTATGTAGCGATGAAACAAAACACGCAGGATTAGAATGAAGGTCATTCTTGGGTCTTCATCGTGAACTCCATAGGGGTCCCGATAGAGTGTTATATCAGACCCGTCAATTATATATTCCTCATGCGAACTTTACAATCGATTAACTCATTCTATATCACATCTTTTTGAGTAAGGAAAAAGATTCGAAGATCTATTAAAACACATGTTAATCACTTGTTCTCAGAAGCTCATGTTTAAGCTATTTAACCAACCAGAACTTATCATTCAAAAATGCTGTACGGGCCACTTGGGGAGTCAAGGAGGCCAACTACTTTATTTTCCGGCCGCTCCTATTCTGGGCCACTCTTCTAAACCAAAAATTGGCCTTTCGATTTATTAATAGATTTGCAAGATCAAACAAGACCAAGTTGTACTTCATTGCGTTAAACTCATCTATCTCTACAATTATATTGTTTTCATATTTGCAGATTCACAAAATCTCACTCTTGCTAGCACGACTAATTAGTAGATTATTTCAATCACATGAGATGTTTATTCTTGATAGACCATCCGTGAATCTCTTTTGAAGCATTATTGATGGGTTCAATGGCAGCTCGACAATGCATATGCAATATTTTACTGTATGCATCTACATGACTGTATACGACCACGAAGTGATACACTTATTTAGAGGTACATTTTGGTTATTGGATGTGTTTAAGCAACATATATTCGCCATTTCATGTGGCTCATCCATTGTTCTTCAAGCTCTGATCCCCAGATTCTCATACAATGCCTCTCCTCTCAAAGTCCATATAGAGAACTCACACAGCTTACATCACTTTCGTAAATTTAAGCACGACCCGTACAAGTAAATCCTGACGTCCCAACCACATTTGTACATTTATACCCTACACCGGCCGTCTTATTCGCATCTACAACGTCGATGTTTTCCATGGTGATGTCTGTACAAGGGGCGACAGCGCTACATTGAAAGCTGGTTACAGGATTGGTCATACTGCCGGATATGTTGTACATATTTAGATCGCTTATTTGAACTGTGGGGCGTTAGCTCAGGAGTGTGGTAACACGTCCCATTGGAAAATGTGTGGAGAAAGTTGAACTAGTGAGGTTGGAAAGGGGGAAGAGCTGAAGTAGTTACATGCTGACGAAGAACAATTTCCTACTGTACCAGAAAATGTTGTACATTGTGAAATAGAAAACGGTGGCCCCCTCAAGGAATGGAAAGAGAAATTTTCAAACGTTATGTTTTTTGCAACTGTGCTCATGTTAGAAACAGTCTCAAGATCTCCATCAGAAACAATCAAAAACACTTACATCCCAGCCCCCCACCTCCACCATTGGGTGGATATCCCACTTGCTCCCCCGTCCACGTTTTCACATATCCTCCATGCAACGTCTTATAAAATACGATTCCCGTCGCTGTCACATTTTCAATACTCTCGTATACCCCCCTGTACTGTCCAATACTGCCTATCGCCACTCCCAACCCGTTGTAGAATGTGGAGTTCGTGATTAATATGTTGGTACTGTTAGCTTTCATAGCTATGCTATCATCACCATTAACGACTGTCCAGCGATCAAAGTGGATATCGTCACTGTAGATTGTATCTGCACCATCTGTATTGCGCGAGGGGCTACCAGAAGAGGAAGTACTGTTCACGTAGATGTCTTGGAGGAGAATTGAGGATGATTTGAAGACTGTCATGGTCCTATTCGATTCGTTAGATCCTTGAAATATCATAAAACCAGACAAATAGAATACAACATACCACATCTGACTCTGCACAAATCGTAACCCTTTGAATACGGAATTCGTCGCATTCCATATCGTAAGCGCATGAGGTCTGTTCGGATAGTTCGAAATTCCCTTGACAAAATCATACCAAGCTTGTCCATTCCCATCCAAAGTCCCGTATCCATATCCGTTCACGTTGATGTTATCGCCGCCGAGCCACCATGCTGAAGTTTGGTTTTGATAGTCGAAGGCCATGGAGTGGTTGAGCCAGTAGGTTATATTTGTGGACCACTTTACATGGCAGGTTAGTTGACGAAATAGATGAAGGGAAAGTGTTGGAAACACACCAATAGTGTTCCATAGATATCAATGTTGCAATTCGAGAGTCCCGTGGTGTTCATGATACTGTTGATGGTATATGTATGATTGAGAAAGACGACAGTTCCATCCTTGCCGCATGTTTTGAATGCAGATAAAATAGCAGGCGCATCTTCCGTACCGTTCAAACTGGGTTGGACAGTACAAGTAGCTCGAGGAACAAGGGCTGACGGATTTCCATTGGTACTACTGAAGAAAAACGAAACAGCCAAAATCGCGAGATAATGAAACGATCTCATGTTGAGTAAAAATAGCTATCTCAAAGTACAGAAGAAAGAATTCATATATGGATCTTAATACAGAGACGATATAGAAACTTAAATAGACAAAAATGTTTGGTAAAACGTAACTGTGCGTCTTCCCCATTTCTAAATCTCCATTGCATTGTGCGGGGTTGGGGCAACACCATGCAGATTTTGCAAAATAAACTGGAAAATGCAGGCTCAGATCGAACTTCAGATCAAGCTTAATCCAATCGACTTCCTCCGGAGAATTATATAACCTCCGAACTAGGAATGCAGAATGCATGAAATTTCAACTATGGCGGATTAAAACAAGATCGACCTGGGAGTTTACCGTCACTGCAACCCTAGAATATACATCTCGCGGTTTCGGCTTCACATGGACCGAGATTTCTAATCCTTTCAGCAGTACTGAATAATTAGTTGTGTAGAAACGGGGAGACATATTGATATTGAGGCGCTGCTTCTGCTCATCCGAACTGCAAAGATTAATTTGACAATGTCCGTTGGACAGCGAATTTTTGGAAGGTGGCATAAGAAACAGCTCAACGGAAAAAACATTTTACATGCGGGGAGAAACGGCGGAAATGTCACGGGTAATTGGGTAGATAATCTGAATCGAGCCTCGCCTGGCATCTCAGATCGAATTCCAAAATTGTGCACAATTTCGCAGCCACTAGAAAACTAATCTTGGCTAGCCTTTTTCTCAATCTTGATATCAGTGTCACGTTGAATGGAGGTTGAAACCTTAGCAGCACAACCGAGTTGGAGGAAGGTTGCAGAGGTAAATGGAGTAGTCTGTTAACTCGCTATAAATGGCATATAAACAGACCGGATATTATACTTATACAAATACCAACTCAGCCATTCCAACCCTGAACCAGCTCCGACCTGCTAAAATCCCCTACCGTCATGTTCGCATTATATTCGTCGTAAATGGGTATTCTAATTGGCTTTCTTTGCCTCCTCTTCCTCGTTCCATGGATGTTTAATAGTCAGGCACCAAATGTCCAAGTAATCGCAAATTGTAACAATTACATCAACCTTACGGTGTTAGCAGATGACAAGAGAGAATAGGGGAACGGGTGCTCACCACAAAGCTTCCATAAACTCCAACCGCAACACCAAGCATGCAGAAGAGATATGCGACCTGGTATACACCACCACCAAGAGCACTTGGCCATCCAAATCCAAAATTCTCCTTCAAAAACGGCCCTGCAGAGTCAAAGACGCCATAAGCAAGCGGTAGGTTCAATACATTCGTGTAAGGGAATGGCAGTTTGACCAAATGGGCAGTGATCATCTGGCCCACCGAGTAAGCATTGACAAGCCCGGCGAAGAAAACGAAAGGAACGAGATGATTGTAAAGAATTTCAGGGTTGAGATAAAGGTAGGCTGGGATGAGCGACCACGTGAAGAAGAAGGGAAGGAGACCCAAAAGCGCGCCTCGAGACCTGTCTCCACGAGCTCTGCGAGCTTTGATCACATTTATGGAGCTGGAGGGGTCGTTAGCTGTGAGACATTTTGACAAGGGTCAAAGAGGGGTAAATTTACCTTTGTACAGTGTTGAGAACCAGCACAATTCCACCTTGAACCATATACCACTCATTGAATGGCAATTCATAGATATATTCAGGAATAAACGGGTAATGTGGGATACCAACAGTCCTGAACATAGATTGAGTCCAGAAGCTCGCCCCACCTTTGATTGCAGTGAACGCGTAGACTGTGATGAGGATGACAATTCCTTCTACAGGTCCAGAGATCAAGCCCAATGTCAAAGTCTTTGTGTGATATTCGTCCCAGGTTTGTACGTAAAATGTGAGGAGAGCTATCAATCGTTAGCATATGCTGGCAGAAGGTCACGAATTGAGTTCGCACAAGCAAATAAGACCATGACTGTCTTCCAGCCCATTCCCAAGTTCTGCGAAGCCGCGAAGATCAAACATTCGAGAGAAGTATTCACTGCGTCAACACCGTGATCGAAGAGCTCTCCAAGCGGTCCACTCTGATGTGTTCGTCGTCTGTGATTTTGACGCGCCAGATTAGCTGTATTCCTTTCGTATCAATTGCAAAAGAATGTAAACATACGCTTGAGTCCCATCAACCGCGTCGAAGGTTTGATACAAGAATAATCCCACAGCCCAACTGGCATACACCCAAGGTGGACAATCCACATCCAGCGTCGGATTATACCACAGCAAAGTCAGGATATTGACAACGACGAAGCTGAAACCCGTAAGAGTAATCAGATTCGGTGCCATGCTCATCGGGAAACATTTTATCACGAAATTCGTGTAGAATGGCTTGAGAACATATCGAGATAAGAGGGAATGGTCGACACCGGAATATTTGTACTGCTTAAGGCCGGGAAGTTTTTCTTGTCGTACGTACACCATTGTGACGAGGCCTTGGGTTGTTTAGGAGAAACTTCGAGTAAGGACAAATTTCATGAGAAAGATATGAAATACTTAGAACGGGGTTCTTTTGTTCTTTGTCGTATATGAAGGAAAATCGAGGCACCTCAAATCAAGAATTCTAAATTCTAGAAAAACGTGCCAAGCCCCAAGTTATGCAACGTCATATCAGTACCGAGCTTTTCAGGCATTCTGATAGGGGCAATCAGTAAAGAAAGCCGGGGGCCACAGAACCAACACATTGTGCAATGAATTGCAGAATTTTCTTCAAAATACTAATAACGCAATGTGAATGTTCAAGTGAATCATATTGATTCAAATTACAGCTTTGATTGCAGATTAAATCAGATGAGAGTGATACCGCACAATTGAACATCAGACTACCTAGGTAATCCTCCACCTGTTCATCTGGAGAACCACAGGAATTATGAAAACACGAACATGTCAAATCTTATTAATTGTGATACATTTCATATTTTTGACTCGATGATTCATGCTGTATCCTTCATCTTCCATGAGATGAAGCCAATCCATTTTTCCACAGCTTCTTATACCCATTATCTAAACAACAATCATCAAATGCACCCAACTTTCAACTCCATGAAATCGCTAACCCCTAAGCAACAGACCCGATAACCAAAGCTGCAATCCCTTCTTCCTCACCACGAACCACAATTTTACTTGTGACTCCCGACTTACTGGAATAAGCCATCCGGATATTAGCCACAACTCTTCCACCTGTAACTGTTTTACCAAATAATTTGAGTGTGTGAGTAGTTGTATTGATTGGCACGTCAGTGCCATCAAGGGGTTGTAGTGAAAGTGTTTTGGTAAGTTGTTCGGTAGCATCTGTAAAACCATTAGCTTTTCAGTCAAAAGTGTTCTCCGGGAAGATAACATACCTGCTATACTCTTGACACCACTCAATTGAAGCGTCTCTTCAGCTTCCTCGCCGGAAGCACCCACTTGCTCCCAAATGTGATTGAAGTTACCGGCAAAAGCAGGAACAACGTAGTCACTGCCGGTAAGTTCGAGATCCTCGACTTGATACTCGTCATCGTAACCAGTGTCTTCAGGCTCACCAGTTGTTGGATCGATTTCTTTCGTGGTAAACTTCAGAATATTGGTAAAGGTGCTTGAAGGGAAAGCAGCTTCACCACTGATTTTCTTGAAAGATACATAAATAGTGCCTGGCTCATCAGTTACAAGCTTGGTGGCAGGAATGATAAAATCTTCCTCGAGCTCTTCTTCATCAGATGGGCTAGCAACCACGGACACTTCTTCGAGAACAGTATCTGGCAGGGTATTCTTAACCTCATATTGAAGAACAATATGTTCCTTGAAGATATGTTTGACGACGGTAACAACGTATTCAGTTTCCGATTCTGTCAATTCAACAACAGGAGACGATTTCAATACAGCACCATATGGCTTGAATTCTGGAATCTTGAGTAACTCCTGGGCATACTTCTGAGCAGTTGCAGAAGCGGAAGCAACAGCTTCGGCACCAGATTGCGAAGTCTTGCTGGGACCAGATTTTGGAGCCTTGATCGTTGGTGTGACTGTTGTGAGCTTCTTGGTTCGCTCCTCTGCGTCTGCTTGCTCCTTGGTAACAACTGGGACCGAAGCAATATCGAAGGGGCTATCAAAAGTTGATTTGTCATCAGCTGTGACGTACATAACAAGTTGATGCTCGAGATATGGCAAAGCGAAAGTATTTTCTGTAAATGATTAGAGTAGTGTAGGGGAAATTATAATTATCAAAACATACCATTTTTGATGAAACGATCTGCCGTATCATCAGACTCTGACATTAATCTCAAGTTCAATGCGGCACGGTCGCGAACTTCATCATCAACATCATCCAAACATCTGGTCAGGAGGACTGTAACACTGCGTTTGACTTCTGGATCTTTCTGTGCCACACCGAATTTCGCCAATGCTGTGACTGCGGCAGCTCGTACAATGGCATTCTCAAGAACCACTCGATTGTAGATATATCTGATGTACTTGGTAGGTTGAGATGTTTTTGGACCTTCCAATCCGAGAAGATGAAGGATGCGCACAGCCAATTTCGTGAACTCACAATCCTCAATGAACTCGCAGAGATGTGCCAACGCATCTTCCTTTGAATCGGGAACGAACTTGATTAAGTCAAACATGCTCTCGACTACAGCGCGCTTAAACTCATATCCTCCCTCATCGCGAAGTATACCACTGAGGAATGCTAACATGCCGGCTTGCTTGTTGGGGAACTTTAGACAGAGGGTGCGGATGGCTTCCACAATGGTGATCTTGAACTCGTCTGTAATATCAGCCATAAATCCTGAAATTTGCTTCATCAATCGATCAACACTGGCTTCGTTGCCGGTCTTCAAAAGGGTGGTGATGGCAAAGGTAGCAATTGATCTATTGGAGTTCGAGATGAGAAGTTCGATATCTGGGTTGCAAGGATGAACAGCTTGGGGCTTGAAGGAGGCGAAGTTGTGAAGTATGCGAATCGCAGCAAACTTGGTAACAGCTCTTGGCGAGGTAAGGAAAAGTTGCAAAACATGAATGGCTTGAGTAACTTCAGCATCGGTGACGTCTCGCATGTCGCAAATGGCTTTGGCAGCCTCGAAGTTCACCATTTCACTCTTGTGTCGGAGCCAGCCATCCAAGAGTTGCATCATTGGTTTTCGGAGTTGTTGGTCTTCTTCTGCCAGTTGTGCTGCTAAACGGACGAGCATGACAGTTGCAGCCGGACTCTTAACAGCACCTGCGGCCCCAAATTGCTGAACCATCTTAACTAATGCCATTCTATCGTGCATCCTCATTTGATATAGAAGACCAATCGCATGGTATTGTGTCATTGTTGAATTGTTGACTGGCATTTGGCTGCTGGAAGTCGAGAAGCCAAGGGAGAAGCCACCCGACGATTTTGTAGCTGTTGCAGCTTCTTGTGTTTCGCTTTGCCATCTTCGAACAACATCGCGAGCTATAGGTAATAGGTGGTAAGAAGATATTAAGGCAGCAGAGGATACGGAAGGGTTCTTGTCGACAATTGCGGTCTTCATTACTCGTTCAATACTCTGGACTGTGGAGGCCTGGCTGTGTCAATGATATCCCTTAAAATAATCTGGCGCACTTACATCAATGATACGGCACAACGCCCGAATGGCATTTGGTCTGTAGATTGCATCTGTTCCACCACCAGTATCCTTCATTATTGTACTTGTGACCATAATAATATCTTCAGCGGAATGCGCCAATTCCTTAATGATAAGGTGGACCATCTGCCGCAGGCTGGCATCTTTATTTTGAAACAGCTTCGAGATACCAAAGAAAAGGGTAGTGGCTTCGTTGGTAGGGAACTTCTCGCCGGTGTATAGTAAAAGCGCAATCTTCGTAAGGAGAACACGACATCTTCGAGGTTGTATAGGGGAAGAGTTAAACAATCGAGCTTTGAATGTTAGCTTAGCTGGCCTGTTATTGGGAATGTTCACCGACCTTCTTGGAAAACAGAGGTTCTATCCACACGCATGATGGCCATTTCGCCATCTTCATCTTTCTTACTGTAACTCATGATGTGCAAGGTATGCTCCCCAGCGTCATGAATTGAGAATCAAAAGAAAGTCGAGTATTGCTGCAATTGTGGTCTTTGAGGTTGCGATACGTCGCCAAATCCACTATGTGTTGGCGTGAAGGAAATAATTTGATAGGGGTGAGTATAGACGTTTCATCGGTGTAAAAGGAACGGCTTTTGCCGAGAGTGTCCCTTTCTTGGATAATTCCGCCCCGCTCGCTACTCTACCACGGGCTAGATTCTGTTACGCGGAGGAAGCACGAGGGAAGTTAATGAATGTCATGAAAAGAAACCCAAAAACAAAATATCAAGAAGCGAATTGCTTTCGAATAATAGAGAATCATCATCTCTGGAGGGTTTTCTCATTATCCCCGAAAGTAGGTCTCAAACCTCGAACTTCGAAACTTTCAAGCACTGAATTGCAAAGCAAGATATCACTCACCACACGTTCAACCAAGCCAACATCATCAGTATCAAAAAGACGAACATTATAGAATATCCCAATCAGTGAATATCAATTAATCTGCACGGAACGAAACAGGTAGAAAAAGTGAAGCTCAAAACTGGTAAGTTGCCCTTCTCATATCCACAGGAGCTTAATGGCTCAGCCTTATATCATTATATGGGCGACTTCCCCAAAAATGCTTTTCAAGTGAGAAGCATCAGTCGAACACCTCCCACTCAATCAAGTGAATGAGATAAAGATTAGTCCTCCCCAGATATACCAAATGAAAAAAAAACTTTATATTCCCAGGCTGGTATTGATCTCAATTGAAAGCCTACAAAGCCACGACATTTTGACCCTGATTTTGTTCACCCTTTTTTTGTTGTAGTTCTATACCACAACATTGAACTTCTCCATCGTGAGAGAAGATGAAAAATGATAGTTTAACATTGTTAGTGCACATGTACATTACTTTCTAGCTTTACAATTGTGGAAATGGCAAATATTTCTGCCTTCAAATGAGTATCATTTTCCTGGGTAGCTGAATAATGTCCCCTGTGAACTATCGATCGAATTTTCCTTGACTTTCCCCTACTATATATCCACAAATCTTTCAGCCAACGTTCAAACACTTGAAGTCCTATCACTAAGATCATCGTATATATACCACTTTACAGTATTGTTTCAGCTCATCTCTTTCACATATAAGTTACGGCATTCCATTCATGGCCCACATATAGCGCAGGAGAGCTCAGCACTATGGATCCAATGGAGAGTTGTAAGCTTCGATTATTTTTACTTGAAGAGAATTCACGCACTGCACATTGAGCACATCTAACAGCTTTGCCTTGAACTTTGGGATTAGAGTTAGAGAGTACATGTAGATTCAGAAAGGAGTTGGTAAGAAGAGCGAATACAATCGCGAGGTGAGGTCCCGGTTGACCTCGAGATTGGAACCTGGATACAGCAATTGACCAAAATTCATTTTATATACGATCAGACTTTTTCTGTCCCGGATAGCGAGGCTGACAATACCATCAGAGAAGATGCA